GCTTGAGGTATTCAGCCAATCACAACGCACTGGATAGCTGGCCAATCACAGCACACCTCGCTTTTCAGAACGATGAGCTTTGTAAAAATCGACGCGTTTCAGAAAGGCGGGGCATAGAGGAGAAACAATAATGTACATTATGTGGAAAATAATGTGGGTTTTTTTACCTTAAACCGCATAAACACATTGCATTACACTAAATACACAACATAATCTATTTTTTTAGCAACGTCATAAGACCCCTTCAATGTTTTTGAATATTTAATAAAAATGTCAATTGAAAATGATTGGAAAGATCTAGATACATACACACATAAACAATAAATGTCACTTAATGGATCCTCAAACTAACTGTGGATAGCTCCAACGTGCAGTAAATCTGATACTTGACATTCAGTTAGATGAAATCAATTTAATAGTATATTCAAATGCAATGTGGGTGTAATAATAACAATATTGAGAAACTAGCTAGCAGATTGACAAAATAAGGCTTTCATTAATCTAATGCAACCATAAGCAAGACCAGAGATCAAGATTAATGTCTTTCATATAGTGGCACTGTTTGGGGAACCTGATGCAGCATTTGCATTATGAAGAAGAGGGGGGGTGGGGGGGTCTGCCCATCTGTAGTATTTCCATCAACACAGTGAGAAGAGCAGTAATGGTGCAGTGACATGGAAAGACAGAGCTTTACCTCCAAACAGTCGTTAAACAGGAAGAGTGTGACATGTTCTCCCCGATCGCAGGGTTTGTCTCCCAGAGCGATGGTCTCCACCCTGTGAACCAGACTCCGATGTGACGACAACAGATTGGCCTGCAGGTGCACACAAACATACCAACAAATTTTTCCAATTTGCAAAACATTTGCAACCTTTTCAGCTAATTAATTATAAGTTACTGGTGTGCAGAATTTTGTTCAACTACTCAAGAGCGCCAGATAAACATGCAGCATTTCCTGCAGATTCCTCAGAATGCTGTTCCTGGATCAGACTCTGTCATGTTCATGCTGCTTCAGTTCCCATGAACTAAAAAAGCCAAACTGATCCAGGAAAAGCACTCCCATCTGCGGGCAATCATTGGTTTGGCAGCCCCGTCTCTAGACGCAGCTGTTCTGGGGCGAGTATGACAGGAGAAAACATGAGCTGACTCACTATGATCCATTTAGTATTGAGAGAAAGTTTCAGAGAGCATGACTGCATCTCTCACCGCAGGGAGAAGATGAACAGCAGCCAGCACAATCCAGTGTCACACTTTACCATTTACTGTTAATTAAAGTGCCCCTATTATGGGTAATGAAAGGTTCATATTTTGGTTTTGGGAGTCCCCAACAACAGGTTGACCTTGCATGCATGTCAACCTGTTGTTGGGAGTCCCCAACAACAGGTTGACCTTGCATGCATGTCAACCTGTTGTTGGGAGTCCCCAACAACAGGTTGACATGCATGCAAGGTCAAAAAACACTTTCATTGTCTTATATAATATGCATTTATTTTTACCTTATTTGCTCAACGACTCCCAAACGATTCGTTTAACGATTCATTTTTCCAAACCCCTCCTTTGCGTGACGCTAGTCTGTGGTGATTGGTCCGATTGGTCTCATTTTCATTTCATAATGCCTGATAAAGCAGCGTTTGTGAGCGCAGAGCTGCTTTGTGTACAGCGTTACCGGGGAAACTGCTATTTTACGGCTCCAAAAGCCGCACCTAGTGGCAAAGAATTAATTGGTATTTTCATTCAGGCCAACCAGAAAAGACCATCAAGTGGGTGGGCAATATGCCAATGTTTCATGTTGACGTCAACATGAAACGGCTTGGGATTCTTTAAAAAACGACCCGTTTCAACGATTCAGAGTCGACTCTTTCTTTTGAGAGACAATAACTTTATACACGGTGCACTTTCAGATTTAAAACTTTGCAGGACGTTTTCATTCTCTTAGAGGTGTGTTACACACTGCATGAAAGGTAATTTTCAAAAACCCATAATAGGGGCACTTTAAAATAGCCATATTATAAACATTTGTTAGCATTTTATTTAGTTCTTGAAGTCCACTTACAATGTTAGTCAAGGTTTCTAGCACCATAAAGACAAATTTCACAAACAGTTCTGCCCATTTCTGCTACTGTAGCTTTAAAATTAGAAATATACCTTTAACATCTATATGTCAGTGTCCTCTGCTATGATTGGCTATCCTCAGTTTTAAAATTGTCAAATAATAAATAGGTATTGGGATGTAAACAGACAGTCATGTGTCATGGTTCTGACCGTGATTATTTTCTGAACGACCTGTTTTCATAGCTTAGCCTTCATGGTCTGGGTGGACTGGCAGGGGAGATTTGCTTGGTGAATGTTATTACTCTTATTACAGCATACTCTTATTTCAAAAGGGCGAGAAAAAATCCCATGGGTCACTCACAATATGGTAACTTCAGTTCTTTTGGTTGGGACATAGAAAATGTGGGAAGTTATTTGAGAGCTGCGACAGAGGGTGACGACTTTCAGAATATATCATCTTCCATTGCGATTTGTTGACTCAAAGACTTGGAATATAGCACTACTTATGAAGGCACGTAAATGACAGAATTGTGGGTGATTTATTTCTTTGAACTCAACTGAGATGTGTGTAAATATAAGATGTTTGCAGAAAAGTGAAAAATTACTCACAGGGCAGCCGTCCACTTCATAAACAACATCAAAAATCTGCTTCTGTCCCTCTGTTTTCCTTTTATCCTCATTTATGTGGCTGTGAAAATTAAGACAGAGCGAGAATAGTAAAGAAATCTTTGGCTAAAAGTTACCATTATAGTAAATGATTTCAACCCTCCAAAGCAGTTTCGGTTGACACTGAAAATACATTTTAGCCTAATATTTTTGAATGCCAAAATTTCATTGCATTGCTAGTTTATTTTGAGAGAAAAAATTAGGGGTTAACCGCAGAACTTACGTCATCACTTCCTTGAGAGACTCGATAGCCTTTTCCAGGGTCACTTTATCTGGGTTGTCATCTGATGTATGTTTCTTTATATCTACAAAGAACAAAATTCACTATAAATCTTTCTTACATCAGCATACAGAGATGAAACATAACACACCTGCTAAAGAATAATGCATTTGCATGTTTTCTAAAGTTGACCAAGTTTACTACAAACTTGTTTTTTTCATGTAATGGATTCATTTATGAAAGTGAATCGAACCACCTCCACGGTATCTTTTTAAAATATTTAAATAATCAGGATTCAGACAGATTTACTGAATAGAAACAGCTTGAACCCATTACCTGAATCAAACTAACAGTCGTATTTATGTATTACCGTTCAGCAAGAGGGCAACACTTGGCAGTCTCTGCACAGGACGAATCAAAAGTTCAACAAGAGTCTGACGGCCACACTCGGGTTTAGCCTGATTAATCTGGATAACAAAATGAGAGAAAACATGCAAATAAATGGTCTTCACGAAAAATGTCTATACAAACCAACTCAAATTTATACTAGTGATTCATCAGATTTTGACTATATTTTTACTATAAGCACTCTAAATATATTGGAGAAAATAAAATAGACACCCTGAGGTCAGACTTCTTTTACTTCAACTTTTATATCTTTTATATTACTTCAACAATATATCAGTCTCTGTATAATACAGATGTCTTTATATACACTAAAAAGAGACGACAGTACCTTCAGGAACGCATGAAACCTCGGCTTCTGTCTCTCACATCTGACTATGGTCTCTTTGCTCATCTCAAAGAAGTTGACAAATGGTGGGTAGGCCTTCACCAAATCTCTAGACTGAAAGAGAATTTTAAAAATAAAAAGAGACCACAAAAGCTGTCATTTATTCTTTGACGGCATTGTGAACTTCATGCCGGAAGAGGTCGAGTTCAAAGCTTCATCACACTCACATATTTCAGGATAATGTCTCCAACGCTCCTCTCTTCAGACCAGTTCATCACCAACTCCTCAAGATCCGCCTGTCAAAGCACATTCATCAGCTAATATGTTCAGCACAGCCTTTACTCAGCGTTTTGGAAAGGTTAGTGCCTACCTTTATTCTCGTGTGCACTTCATAGATGTCTGGAATACTGCCAAAAATGGTCTTGATCTCTTCCTGAGCTAGAATAGGGCCGCCCACCTGCCCCTCTTTCTCCAGGGGGTATTTGAAGAGCTGAAAGAACCGACGAACAAAGGAAATTAGATCACTAAGCTAGAATGGACCCCGAGATTCTCACTAATGGCACAGGACTTGACAGTAGAGGTCTGCATTCCTGCGGGATCACTAAAGGATTTGATTAGATTTGTTGCAGCGCAGGACTAAACCTCTGATTTGTAGGTATGAGAGGGTGCTATTTCTAAGAGATGTCAGCCAAAGTGGACTGCCTGATAGAAGAGTGGAGCAGTAGTTTTTAGTATTTTTCAGCCTTTTGACATAATCTTAAAATAAACCCTAAACAACGGCAATTAGAAACTTCCACTCAAAAGGTGGGATTGATAAGAATAAGTTTCTTATGCTTACCAAGGCTGCATTTATTTGATCAAAAATAATCAAAACAGTAATTTAAACTTCTATTTTAATTCGAATATACTTAAAATGTAATATATTCCTGTGGTGGCAAAGTTGAATTTTCAGCAGCCATTATCCATTATCCAATATGATTCTAATTATCGTTTTTTTTTGTTTTTTTTTCAGTATCCTTTCAGGAATTTAAAAGAAAAGTTTAAAATAACTGCATTTATTTAAAACATACATCTTTTGCACATTATAATGCCTTGACTTTTGATCAGATGAATGCATCCCTGCTGAATAGAAGCAATAATGAAAAAAAATATTTAAAATAAATTAAAGAAATAAAATTACAAATTACAAGTAGCAAAATACAAAAAATACAAAATAATTAAATATTTAATTAAACTGTTGAGAACATTCAACATGGAAACAAAGTACAGTTCTGCAAGAGTGGAATGAAACTGGGAAAATCAGTTCTGTTCAGACCTCTACTTGACAGCTACTCCATAAATTTAATGAAGAGCCAGTGGACCACAATGGAAAGGTCAGGCTATTCAGTATTGCCTGATGATCTGACTCCACTGTTCAGTGAAATTTGCCGGGCTCTGATTGCGGGCATATGATGTGGCATTTACTATGCAAGCAGACACAGAAGTATGTATGTATGTATGTATGTATGTGTGTGTGTGTGTGTGTATGAGCTCCACATGTAAGGGTGCAAAGCAAAGCTCAAATGTCCATAGCATTGGTGTCCAAATCTAATTCATTTTCCCCCTACTGGTCAGAGGCACTGGTTCAGTTTGATAAGGCCACAGCCAGGTACTGTGAACTGCCACTTTCCTATGCGTGTGTATATAAGGAGAAAGAGAACACACAAGACACACAATGAACACAAACCTGCAGGACCGTGGCCAGGATATCAACATAGTTGCTCTCAGTTTGGTAGAGCTCCTTGGAGACCTGCCAGCGCGCTGACTGCTTAGGAAGGGCGGGAGTTGAGCTTTTGGGGGGTTTGGCATTCTCTGAAACACATAAGCAGAGATGCAGGGATGAGCAGCTATAAATCTTCCTCAGGTATATTTCATCCCTGTTCTCAAAATATCTGTTCCAAAAAAAAAAAAAAGAAGGGTAATATGGGCCA